CGGTACCGGAGAAAAACCAAAAAAAAAAAAAGAAATTGTCTGGGAAGTCCAGAAACCATACAAGGTTATTCTTTTAAAAAAATCACTATAATAATTCTTAAATTTTTCCAGAACACAGCATCCTCAATTTTACAAAGACCCAAATGCATCTACAGAGACAACCAATCCTAACGGACAGCGAGAATAATTCATAGCCAGATAGGTAACCTAGAATTGTCAGAAATCTCCTCAAGTCTAAACAGAACACTGCCTTCAGATTTGTGACAGCAGGGTGTATCTCATCACTACGAAGGCTACAGTGCTGCAGAGCACAAATCTAGGAGACATAAATGGAACTTCAGCTAAATGGAAAGCTTGGTTAACCACAGTTGAGTAAACCTGAGTTGCAGCGTAATCTGATAAGGCACAAATAGCACGGACTCTACAAGTGTAAACCATGTGTCCCTAATGCAGTAGAGTTCTTTGAAGGAGTTAATCAAATAGTGAATAAATAAAAACTAATGCATAGAATTCAAAAGGTGTTTTTTAATTTATTTTTGTTTTTTAAAAATGAAGTTGCTCGTGTGGGCCTGGGGATGTAACTCAGTGGTAGAATGTATCCATAACATGTTCAAAACACCAGATTCAATCTCTAGTATTGCAAATAAATAAATAAACAAACAAAGAGCTCCTCATAAGAGGCTATTAGGAAAATTTAGTAATTGCCATGGTTTAAAAACTAACACAGAAGAAACCAGGATCAGTACTGAACATATCCAGAGACTAATAGGCTAGTGTAAAAATCTGTTAACGGCATAGAAGAAGCATATGTGGTTAGAAAAGAATGAAAATTGCCAAATATGTTAAACTGTCTACTGGGAAGCCTGAAAGTCCTTGCTGAGATACGATGAAATTCCCTCTTCTCAAAGTAAGTGCAAGGTTAATAGTTAAAGAGGTTAGCATGATTTGCCAGAGTAAAAAAAGAGAGCAGAATAAAAGAAGACATGATAAAGATTCATAAAATGGATGGCAAAGAGAATGCCAACTGGTGTTTGTTCTTTACCTTTGCCTTTATGAAAACACAAAAACTTTATGTAGAGCTTTGTAATAGAAGACAACAAATTTAAAATAAGAGGTAATTATTTTATGTAGCATTTAATTAACTCATTGAACGTGCTATCACAGGATATAAAGCATAAAATTTAGTATGGCTCCCAAAGACTTTTTGAGATACCAAAATATAGTTTTATAATAAAATTACTTATGCTCAAAATTAAAACAGAGCGCATGTTTCATACTTCAGGGCATTAATGAGACAAAGTCAGAAGTTCCTTTTCCAGTTGCTATATGCAAAATGATTTATAATTTCAACTTTTAAGTATTCCTAATTCCATCCTACAGTCCATAGTAGATGATACTCATTAAAAATTTTTTTTTCAGATATACTCTACTTTCCTATTTTTCCAAATAGCAGAACTTCCATTTTGCCCAATTCTTCTTCCATTTCATTTAGCTCAGCTTCAAAATAATGCCAAAGAGATATAACTAAGAATTATTAAACTACAGATTTAAAATTCATATTTGAAAAAGTACTCTATAATGTTGCATTTTTTAACCTTCCTTTTCTAAGACAAAAATTTAAATTCCTACAATACTTTGGTTATATTCATACCCTGTACATATCACAAAACAAAAATCTGAGTTTGGATGCTGAGATCAATCATAAATAAGAACATTTTAAACTGTGTCTAAGAGCTACAGCAGCGTTATTTTGTAAAATGAATTTTAATCAATAAACAATACCATTTAATGGAATAAGACAGCAGAATGTCTATTAAAAGCGTATAGCCCTCTAACCTCTGTCTTCACCACGGAGAATGAGTAACTGGCCTAGGAAAGGCTCTGGCTTCAGTCAGTTCATAAATTCAACACATAAAGATCAGGCTGAGAACATTACAGGCAAAACTTAAGATACTGGGGAAAATTCTGTGGAGTCAATAAAAAAGCAGATGATATATTGAATTTTTGAAAAACCATACAACTGTGTTGATAAGACCAAAGGGATCACAAGGTAGGTTTACATTTTGTGTCCATTTTGTAATCCATTCCTCTCCATTTTGGGCTTAGCAATAGGGTGCCACACGTGGTATAAACCCAGCCGTCGCATTCAAGCTTGACTGAATTTTAAAAGTGACACTGTAATCAAATATGCTGCAAGGGCATTCTAGAATTTCAGGGTGCTGCTGACCATGAAATTCAGTCGTCTTAGTGCTCGCTTCAAGTTTTAACAGGATATAAACTACAATCCCGAGGTCAATTAAATATAAACCCATATATTTCATCTATCAAAAAATAGTGCCCAGAACATATTACTTGCAAAGAAAGATCTTATTATGTATATCTAAAAAAGGTTATGCAATACAAGTTAAAAATAAGCAAATGACTTTCTAAATTACAGGATTTATATATTTCTTCTTGAGTATAAAATTTTAAAATGTTTTAGAATGCCAGTAAGGCAATATCCTGAAAATATAGAATAGAAAGCTAAGCAGCAGAAACCCTTTTATGCCATTTGGTTTAGGACACAAAAGCAGAAAAGCATATTTCAAACAGAAGAAAAATTTAATAGTTATACTTGCCTGCATTAATTTTCCTTCTGCTGGGGTTATTTCAGCAACACCAGCAAACACACCCTCCAAAGTGAGATTCAGTTTTCCTGTGGGGTCCATTTTCAACGGGATCACTCTGATAATAGCTTTCTGCTCTGCTGATCTTTCAGACTCCACCGCTGCTGCCAATACGAGTCCTGTGCGTCCAAAGCCTGCCTGCAGGGTAGCCATCAGCAGCCAGGGCCAGAGGGCAGCCAGCTGCAGCTGGTGGCCACCACTCATGCTACCAGCTGCAGCAATGCACTTTGGGCATACATACTGCTTCCGCTAGCTAATACCAAATGCAGGTCTCAGATCCAGACAAATGGAGGAAAAGAGAATTCATGCTTCAGTTTCAGAAAGCCAAGTCATAGTTTTGGCCCTTCTTTTCTCTAAAGTTTATTCCCAAGAACAGGTGGCATTCCTGATTGGGCAGAGAAGAGGGTGTTTTTAGCCCACTTCTGCTGCAGGTATGTTGTTTTCTCCCATCTTTGCTCTGACTAACAAGAACACCACTTCTCTTCGGAATTTCCAGCTTCACTTGAGATTGAATGTCACATCGTGAATTTTTCTTATGTCAAGTCACTTGGTATTGGTTCCATATGCATCAAGTTGCCGAGGCACTAAACCCAATGTTGATGAACAAAACAAGGCAAAGTAAACAGCTAAGGCCATGCATCAAAGATGAGAATGAGTAACTCCAGCTCAGAAAATGAAGACACCGACCTTTTAAGCCACAAAATTGGTCAATTGTAAATGATTAAAGACCACAAGGAACTTTTTTAATAGAAGAGAAGGAATAATTTTTAAAAATTTCATACCACACCTTGAGGGATGCTATAGCACGTATCAGAAATAAATTGTTTCTCAGTGTAGTCCAAAATTCTAGATCCACTAAACTTATACACTTTTCATGAACTTGGACATACTATAAGTTTATGTGTTCTACCAAAAGTTGCCTATTAAGTAGGTACTAGTATCTTCATATATTATAGGATAATCCTGCACATCACAACCTTTTCCAATTTTCAAAATTAGAATATTTGAAAAGATTAGTGTTCCAGTTATTTTTCCTAGTTAAAATTCATATTTCTATCACCAATTTCCTTTCTCTCTTAGGGATTCCAGATTTTATTCTCTAGCTTGAGAATATCAAGCACTTATTTCCCATGAGATGCTTTTGGAAACTAATATCCAGATATAAACTGTAATTTTTTAGTTTCATTAGAAAAACAAAGAACTATTCCCAATACGTTTTCAAATTCCATGAGGGGGGGTGGAGAATAAAAGATCGGGGGAGTGGGGACATGATTAGTCATAGGCTCTAAGTAGAACACCCTAAAAAACTACAATTAAGCCCAAGTAGAGTAGTTCTGTGCTATTTGTAGGCACATATGAGAATGCTGGGTTTTCGTATAAACACAGAATAAGATTTTAAAATGAGCACCCTTAAGTGAATATAAATGTACTTTACCCATAAAGCCCACTGCATTTGGAGGTGAAGTTTAAAAGATCTTATATAGTCTTCAGAATCAGTGCGAAAAAGCCAAGCAACTGAACATGAACCTGTTATATTCTACTCTTTTGCTAAAGCAGAAGGAAAAAAAAAATAATTCCAAAAGAAATCTGCAAACCTGTTGCGCTGTTGGGCCCACTGGAATCCACGGGGGTGAAACACATTCACTTATGCTTTTATAGATCCTGCTCAGAAAGGGTTAGAACTGCTTAAGCAAGTACAGCTCATTCTTCCACCTTCAGGCTCTGCAACCAAACCAAGTGTCCCACACTACAGGTAGGTGCCGAGAAATTCCGCAGCCTGAAAAAATAATCCATGCAGGTCAAGAAAACTTATTCCAGGATGAGAGCTACTGTCCCCAAGAACTCTAAAAACATTTACAGAAGATCCAACATCATTTCTGAAATATTTCTAACAAAAGTTCTTTTCCTTTTCGAACAGCATATTAAGTGGTCAAATCTTGAAAGAGAAAAGAAGCAATGCAGCAATACATCAGCAACAATTCACTACCACAAACACAGAAAATCCCAGTGAGAGAAGGCAGTATCTCTGAATCATGGATGGACTTGGAAAGTTCGAAAGGATTCGAGTGCTTCCCTTTCAGAAAGACAATTCTGGATCAGCTCCTAGAGCAGGAAGCCTGTGGTTTGTAATTGGCGTTCTAGCTCTGACTCCCTCCCCTGGGACTGCAATCACGCTCTCTACCTGCTGACAAAGTGAGGGTGGAGCAGCCAGAGGCGGCCACCCCCGCCCCTCCTCCTCCTGGTGTGTGCACGCACCACTTACTTAACCAGACTCCTTCTTTCCCTCTCCTCTCTCAGCTCCTGTACTCCCTCTAGTGAGCCACAGCCCAACTGCGTCCAGTTCAAGCCTCAATACCTTTCTTGGGGTCAGCAAGCTACCCCAGGTTGATCAGGGCCACTCAAACACACCCAAGCAGATTCTGCACCCAACAGAGCAGAGATGGTGGCATGAGGAAATAAAGAGGAAAAAAAAAAAGACATCCAAAAGATAAAAAAAATAGATACAAGGTTTTGCAAATATAAGTTCAAAGGATTTTCTGCTCTTTCCGGGTTTTTGTGTCTTTAAATGGCACAAAGCCAGACTAAAGTGAAGCTATACTGTAGTCCTTGCTGATTTATCGTGGCTTCTATCTGCTACCTTGAGAAGGACTCTGACCAATTTATACATAGCTTACTAATTTAAATTCAGTAGCTCTGTTCAAACTGCTCCTGTATGGGACTTTTAGATCAGGGTGATGTCAGAGGCCTAGAGTGTTATTTTCGTCTCACATCTTTTGAGGTGAAATAATACTACAGATCAGATGTAAAACTGCAAGTACGTGTGTCATTAATATAAGCAAAGGGTAAGATGAGAAGAGTACGGGCAACAAAAAAGAAAACTCATTTCAGCTAATTACCATGTTCATAAACTATAATTCTTTAATAAACTTGCCATTAGAAATAATGCAGAAGTTTCTAACATGTTGCCAATATTTTAATTTTCAAATTTAGATATTTGTCTGTGGTCAGGTATTTCTGCACTACTGCCAAAATCTTTCACAGTTATATCAATGAAAAACAATGTGAATAGTTTACTGACGTGTATACACTTAAAAATGGTTTAAAAGGTGGAGGGTATAGTTCAGTGGTACAGCACTTGTCTGGCACACCTGGGGTCCTGTATTTAATCCACAGTATCCAAAAAATCTTATAATACATTTTATGTTGTTTTTACCTCAAGCGCAAATGAACTTTTGTATGACAATCTGTAAAATGTGAACAATAAATTGTATGGTAGGTTTTTGTAAAGATTAAATGACAGTGTCTCTCAAAGCAAAAAAAAGTGGCCTATTTACCTTGAACATTTTTACTCTATAGAAAGTTTATAAGCCTGTAATCCCAGCACTCAGGAGGCTGAGGCAGGAGGATCATTGCGAGTTCGAGACCAGCCTGGGCTACAAAGTGAACTCAAGGCAAGCCTCAACTGCATAGTGAGACCCTGTCTCAAAAAGACAAAAGATAAATAAATAAAGTTTATGTTTCAGAATTTCTTTTTTTGTTGTTTTTTTTTTGTTGTTTTTTTCCAGTACTGGGAATCAAACTCATGACCTTGCGCTTACAAGGCAGGCACCATGCCACTGAGCTAAATCCCCAGCCCCTAGAATTTTGAATCTAGTAACTAACCTAGAGCAGAGATGAATTTCTAAAGTAAATTCTTATTTAGCAGTTTTTCTTATTTGCACTTGAAAAACAATGCAATACAGACCTTTTGCAGTTGCTTTCCTAAAAGACAGAAAATACTCTAATTCTGCTGGAGGAAAATTTTTTAAATCTATTGTTTATTTATTTTGTGGTAGTGCTGGTCTTTGCACTGGGCTACATCCCCCTCCCTTTTTTTTGACATAGGGTCTCACCATGTAGTTCAGGTTGGCAAACTTACTACGTAGAGCGGGCTGGCCTTGAATGCATGGTAATCCTCCTGCCTCTGCCCGCTGAGTGCTGGGATTACAAGCATGTGCCACCACTCCCAGCTCCCCAGCCCTTTTTATTTTCTGAGACAAGGCCTTGCTACTGGTAAGTTGCTAAATTGCCCAGACTGGGCTCAAATTTGCAATCCTCCTGCCTCAGCCTCCCAGAGTTCTGTGTGTGTCATCACACCTAGCTTATATCTTTATTTTATGTATTCTACATGATTATAGCATCAATAATGAAACTATACATTGTCATGGATACATGCAAAAATATATTTAATGTTAAACAAAAAATAACCTACAAATGGACTTTACCTTATTCTCTCTGCTTGAAATTTGCAAAGGAATTAACATAATAGTCTAAATATGCATTTAGTTGGGGAAAAAAAGGAAGTTACAAATGTTAACTATCTGGTGCACGCCTGTAATCCCAGCACTTGGGAGGCTGAGGCAGGATGATTGTCACAAGTTCAAGACCAGCCTGGGCTACAAAGTGAGCTCAAGCCCAGCCTGAGCTGCATAGCAAGTCTTTGTCTTAAAAAGACAAAAAAAAATGTTAACTCAAACTGATCTCTCTTGAGGAATCTGGGAATAATGATAATATGTATAATAAACCTGGGGGACATTGAGACATTTAGGCTCAAGCCAAACAGCTCTATGTAATTTAGTCCGCGGAAAGCCTGGGGTACCAGAATTGACAAGCAAGAGAAATTATTCTCCAGCTTCAAAGTAGGCGAGCTACCTCCCAAAGGCTGGAATACCTCACTTCCTCCCCAGAGATGTCATGAAGGTGGTTTTGCTATGGTAATGAGAAACCTGTCTCACTGACATCTACAACCTCATCTTGCACCTGAGGCAGATCATCCTTCAGGATCTACTTTCCCATCTGGATTGACTAAATTTACTGAAGAATACTCAGCCTTTTCCACAAAATTGGTCTTTGTAAAACATGTCTGAGAATTGTCTTTTTTTTTTTTTTTTTTTTTGAGAACTGTCTTTATCCTTAATGACATCTTAAAATTTCAATCTCTATTCAAGTGCAAATGAAAAATGTCAGGACAATTTTTTAAAAAAAATAAGATTCTTTGAGAAACAGTACAAAGCTGGATGTGGTAATGCATGCCTGTAATCCCAGTACTGTGAGGCTAAAGGAGGAAGACTGTAAATTCTAGGACATCCTGAACTACATAGCAAGACCCTGTCTCAAACACCATTCCCCCTCAAAAGAAAAACATAGCACATTCCCTTTTGAACTTTACTAGTATTACTAATGATCATAATGACTGAATTTTCTACTGATAGCCAATAAAATAGTAAAAATAAGCAAGAGAAGTCCAGTTGAAACACTCATTTTATTGTTGACTGATTGAAATTTATTGGTGCTTAAGGTGCTGAAATACTGAGGTGCTAATCAGGAACCTTGTTAGTGTGTGTCAGATCCTACTGGCTAATTCACATGAAGATTTTACCTCTTGCCATTCTGCCCAAATCATTGATGACAGCTTTAGGTGACAGACACTGAGCATGTGAATACAGCAGGAGATCCAGCTCCTTGGTTTGTTGTATTCATATATATAAAACTTTGGAAAGCCGATCAAGGCATTTCATTAATTAAACCTTAAAACCACTGAAACCAAACCTATGCCAAGGTTCCTGCTTGACACATGTTCCTCAAAAGATATTATCTCTTTCAACAATATAGGGCTAAGAAAAGCATATTGAAGGGAATGAATATCACCTACACAGTTTACCAGCTCTTCAGTATGACAGAGAAAAGAAAAAGTTCCTTCATTAGGAAACTGGGTCTTCTTTTCACATACTTGCCAAAATATACAGCCTGGCCAAAAGATATAGATGTCTTGATAATTTCTTCATTTTTAAGCCTTGCTAATAAAGATGCAGAAATACCCATCACCTGGACATGAATTAGTCTAATCACTTGGATCACATAGATCACTTTTCAGAATCTACTTTCATATATACACTGAGTCACTGCAGACGAAGACAGAGCTCACCCTTTTGAAAAAAAAAAAAAAGGCCTCTATAACACTTCCTGACCTGGCCTTCTTTGTGAAGGCACAATGCAATAAGATAAGACATGAGCTGTAACATCCACAGTGGCTGGTATAGTAATTTCGTCATACTATTAAGTGCCCTTTTTCACTAGTTTGATAGTCTCAGGCTTTCCTTTTGTTTCTGCAGTGCATATTAGGAAAAATGAAGCAGAATAAGTTAGTACTAGTCAGTTTAAAAGACTTTAAATCAGAAAAGCTCTTGTTGTCATTAGATGGGCAAGCAAGTGATTAACTACAAAACTGGACATCCAAGATGTCCTCCTCTCCTTAAAAACAATCCCACAATCCTACTACTCAAATTAAGAATCCTATAGAGGGGATAAGAAAAAATCTTATAAGTTTATCCCACTATCCAAAATTGTCTCTGAAATTTAAGGCAGATACAAACTATTAAAAATATCAGCGTATAACTTCTGCTACATGACAACTAATCAATTTTCCCCAAAAGTTGCACAATAACTTTTTATAGATGAGGAATTGTACTTGTTGAATGTAAAAATGTAAAATAAGAAACACTGCATTAAATTCTTAGTTTTTGTTCATACATAGTACATTTCTCCCCTAAAATGAGAATATTACATATTTATATTAATAAAAATATAAAGCTTTAAAACCTTTAAATCTACACCATTTATAAATATAATTAAACAAGTAAAATATTTTTCTTTAGAAGACACTTAAGTGATATTAACGAAACCTTCTTAGCATTTATGATAATGTATCATTAAAATTAAAGAAAGATATGGAAATAGAAAAATGATCTCATTAATATAAAAGAATCAGGGGCTGTTAAGTGTGATGGATGGTCCAAGTCCGGGTGCCTTGCTCTTGAAACAGATTGTGGGTTAGGAAGTAAGAGAATTTCCTGTTTAATCACTTAGAAAATTAGCTCTTCCCCAGAGTTTCTTCCCTGGAATCCCTGACCCATTTAGACCTGTGATCTCGGTGACCTCCCATGTCTTTGTTTCTCGTACAATCTTCTCTACAAGGACGACACCATGCTTGAAACAGAGACTGAACTCCCCACCGCAATGTTGTTGATGTCAGTTTGAGAGCGGCAAGACAGCTCCGCACTACGCCCCACACGTGCTCCAGTATCACAGATGTAGCAGTCTGTAGATACTTCCTAACTGTAACAGAAG